CTGGTAGTTCAGACTGATCAAACTGACGAATTAATAAGAGGAATGTGGTCTTGCATGGGTATCCTTAGTCTCCCAAATAGGAGCTTCAAGAACGTTGCATGGAACTTGCAGTCTTAATTTTGGATATTGGGATATTGGGGAGGGGGATATTTCTTTAACTTTTAAATGGCCTTATGCATATTTTCACAAGTTTGATGGTAAAATTAGGATTCTTGAAGTTGAAAGAATGATTTTAAATTATTGAGTACAATACAAATAAAAATTAACAAGCTAGGCTTTTAAGTGTTAGCCAAATATTGATTATGTGTTAAATTGTCCATGATATTGACATAGGGCAAGATTCACAGGGCTGTGTTAAACAGCTGACTAAATAGTTGGGTTTTATGATCCTATTTAATTAGTTAGAAGGCTGTTGAATTTTTGGGTTTATGTCAAATGGTTGACTAAATATTTGACCACACCTAAGTACTTATGCTTAGTATTTTAATACATTAGTATGAATAATTTGACCGTTCCAATTCCTGAAAAATCATATAACCTAAGAGAACTAATTACCAGCCAAGTTCCCGCAACATGGCTTCTCCTCAAGCATGGGGATCTCTGAATAAACACCATCATTCATCTTTTCTTCTCTCTGGCCGCATAGACATGAGTGCTAATCTGAGTAGGACTCTCTTTGGAACTATTCTGTTAAAGGTTTGTACAAAACGCTGACTTAGCCAGAATTGGTTTAGGATCTTACTGTAGGTACGTATGAGGATGTGAGTTGCTGAGCTTGTGCCGGCATTATACAGCCCCAGTCAAATTATCTCATACATCTTTCCCTAACCCAGTTTTAAAAACGGAGGCGAGATATTAACAGACACCAAGGGAATGCATGTACAGAGGTATGTCTAAATCCCTTAAGTTCTCTAGATATTAAAATGTAATAAAAAATATTCAGAAGTGTAAGTGATCCAAGTCTGAAACAGTCGTAATTACTAATGTCATTTACTATGTGCACTGATATTGTGTGAAAAAACTACGTTCAATGAAAGGAAAAAATAGAAGAGCTAATTCAGGTATATAATTTAAAGTATTGGAGTTATTAAAATAAATTCTAGACTATGCGCGTTGGTATGTACACACAATCTGAGCACTTAGGAGGGGAGGCAAGAGGATGGCAAGTTTGAAGCTAACCTGGGCTACATAATGATTTCAAGGCCAGCCTAATGCTATGTATCAAGACACTGTCTCAAAATTAAGGGTTAGGGGTCTAGTTCAGCAGTAGAGGACCTTGCCTAGAGTGTTGGAGGGCCTAGGTTTTATGCTCAGTTCTGTGAAGCAAACAAATAATCACATTAGATCACATATTATTCTGGTAATATTAATCAGGGCCACATATGTAACAAATATGTAACATATGTGAATTAATGTTCTCTGAGTTCTATTGGAGAATAACAAATCTAAACTGGGATACAGTTCTTGGCTAGACAAGCAGCCTCATAGCTAAGCCTAGTGATTCATACACTTGGAAATGAACACAGTGAATAGAATTCAATTTCATATTTTAAGAAAGCTGTCATTTTTTTTGAAATCACAGATCTGCGCATACATTCTTGAAAGCAGTTATGCCAAATTTACAAATTTTAAGCTCTATGTTGAAATAGTTTCCAGTCTTTCTGGCTCCTGTACACAGTGCTTTCAATTCTTTAATTTAACTGTGGAAGATTTAAAGAGAAAGTGGCTTTTCTATGATTGATAGCGTATTTAGATTTCTTTCTAAATCACTTAAGTCTGTGGAATTGCCCCACAACAGACGGGCTTAGATTGCATTCTACTTTCCAATGACTTAGCAACTTGAACATCTGTAAACATCCTTGGTCAGATTGGCAGTTGGAACTCTACTTTGATAAGAACTTTTGAGATAAGTTGTTCTATCTGCTCAACTGTTGGTTCTTTGGCTTGATAAGGACTCTCTTCTAATTTCCATTAAATTGGTTGATACATGGAGATGATACAGTACTTTGGCAGACAGAATTTTCATTCTGATATTCCTATTTAAAATTCTAGAGTTCTCTATTTTAATATGTAAATTAAGGCTTTAGTTTTAAATAGCCTTAGGATGATTTGTGCTATGCAAATACAAATCAATGCTAATGCAATGTATTTTACCACCTGGGCAATTGCTAAAGTGAAGTTAGAAAGTACATTATTTTTACATATAATTTTTAAATGCAGAACTTTATATGCAGTATGAAAGCCTGAACATTTGGAGTGTTCTACTCAGTACTTGAAAGATGGTTAAACTTTGGAAGTTTATTAAATGTTTATTATATCTCAATTGATGTGAATAAACTTTAAAATTCTTCAAATATTTAAGTATTTTGTTACATCTCCAGCAACTGTGATTTATTTTTCTCTCATATCATTTTTCTGTGAAACGGATTATAAAGGAAGATCATCTTTACACAATAATTGCTTTACAAGAAGAGAATGCTTTCCATACAAATGTATTAACAGCCCATCAGTGACATCGGGTAAAGATGCACTTTTTATAACCAGGAAGATGTACATTTTGATGGCAACTTCAGCATTTCTTCATAAGACATTTGGAAATTTGTTCCCAACCTCCATTCTTTGTCAGCAATAGCACCACTCAACTTACCATGTCACATGCAACTACTTTATATACATGGTGCTTCATATGATATATTTAGCTAAAGCTGACCACTTGCTTCCTCTTGCAAACCACTCTAGTAAGCCTTGGCAGCAGATAATAATCACATGTAACCCCTGGCTTTTTAAGGTTGAGGGTGCATGAAGTAGAAACGGAAACAAAAAGGGGAAATAAAGTGAAGCAAGGAGATCATGTACTGGTAAAAAGGAAAGAGAGGGAAGTATGTTGGTATAGTATTATTGAAAAGGGGATGTCTCTGGCATGGTGGAGACAGCTGCTTTTTTGAATTTCCCCCTAACTTTGCATGTGTAATACAACACTAGTAGCTTGAAACTGGCAGGGTGGAGTCACTTACTCCAGAGAAATCGTCAATAACTACGAATTAGCTTTTATCCTTCATTCACCCTATGGTATTGGGAAACCCTTTGCTCAGCAATGTGGCAGGTCACCTGCTATCCTGAGGCAAGTACTTATGGATAGTAAACAGAGAGGAAGATCAAGGCTTTGAGGGGTAAATGGCTTAATTTGATTTTTTTATGGTAAAAGGAGCAAAAAAAAAAAAGCACTTTAAGTAAAAAAAAATAATGATTGCAAAAGTCTTAATGTCTGGATTGTTTAAACCAAAGAGCAAGCAAATAATGACCGGACTGGTAAGAGGATCAGTGTGGAGTGAGGGGCTGACCGGGCAGTGGGTGGGGACAGGACTGGGCAGGGGTGGGGGTTGATGAGGGATTGAGAATTCCACAAGACAGCGGTAATCACCACAACTGCCTGTGATTCAGATGAGCTGGGGCTGAGAAAATTCCATTGGCTTATGTATGGCAGGTAACACCAAGATGCTTAATTCTGTGCCAGTTCTCTTGACTTGACCCAAGCTTTACCAGAGGTGTGCTAGCTGAGAGATCCCTACCTCCTGCTGCTGTTTCCTGGAGAACCAACAGGGGGATATTCAGCCTGACTAGTCTCAAAGCCATGTGAGCTCCAGGCTGTGCCTTAGGAAGCTGGAGGAAAGAAAGGCAGCAAGACAGAAAAGGGACTGGGTGAAAAGTCCTGGAAAGGCAGAGAGAGAGAGAGAGACATAGGGAGCAGCTTTGGACTTGGCTCCCCAAGGGAAACTTCAGAAACTGGGGCAAAGGTCACCTGGCTCAACCAAAGTAAGCAAGGATTGAGGAGACTCTTTCACCGAGTTTGCACAGGAAGCGCTGACTGTGTTCTCTGCTGTCCCTTTGCCCTGCTCTGACATGTGGCCAGTTAATTAATTAAGTTCAAAAATTAACTATTTGTAGGCCTGAAATTTAGTACAAGTTTGGAAGATATTACTTTCATACCATTTGAAAATATTCCAATAACTGTTGTAATTAGCTACCTCATAAGATCCAACTTTGACACCTTACAGGCTTTTAAAACTTTTATTACCCTTAAACTGAGTTTAGGATACTTTCTAATTAGCATTTAATTACATTTTTCTCATAATAGACTATAAATAACTCAAGTCAGCTGTTCTCCAGGGCTTTTTTTTACTTTTTGAATACATTCCCATTATTGTGAACATGACTGACCTTGTTTATTATGTAGTTTTAGCAATTATTCATTGCTAGCATATTTAGTTGGAACCTTGTATCAATAATATTCTATCTCATCCTCAAATCCACAGAAAATAGTACTAAGTTTTGTATGAATGCAAACAAATATACAAACCTATCTGGGGAAGACAATGTGAAAGATGTTAAGGACAAAGATACAAAGATATATTATCTAACACTGTATTATGATTTACACTTCTTAATACATTCAAAGAGTAAGTTGATAGTAGAATTTGAAAGGTTTACTTGAACGGGATTTCAATGCAGTCACAATAAAATAGGAATGTATTTCCATACCAAAACCAGGCAGATGACATGTGCCTGATTCTTCTACAAGCATTACATTCAAATAATGGTAATTTAATTATTTGCATTTTAAACTAAGGTAGATTTACAGAATATTGAAAGCAAATAGAGAAGTAAACAGGTAAATCAAATAGGATCCCTGACATCTGTTGCAAAGACGTTATTTAAATATATTTTCTTTAAAAAAAAACCCTCAATGTAAAATGTCATTTTTAAGTATTAGAAACAGAATCTAGATACCACTTGGTTGAGAAATGCAGCCTAGAAGGAAGGACAGGTTCAGAATGAGCCGGAGGAGTGAAGGCAAGAAGGGCACTATAACATCATTTAAGGAGGACTAGCCAGTCAACTCCAGAATCACTGTGCGTGACTGTGGGTTACACATATCTCCATGAAGAAACACTGAGCTGGAACTTTGCTCCACCCACATTAGAAAACAGGTTAGTTCATACCTGAAGTTCAAGTCTTTAAAGGAGAACTGAGTTTCAATGATACCAGTCGTTTTCACCCGGGAATGTAGAACATCTTGCTCATTTGGCACGTACCCAGGAGCTGTGATTCTATCTAAGTCATTAAGGTAGCTAATAGAAACAAAATAAAATAGAATATATTCATATTTTGACTCTACTTCGGGATACACTGCAATTCAGTACAAATGTATTTTAAGAGTTTAAAGTACTGGAAAACACACTCCATTTGTTGCTTTTCAGGCTGCTGATCAGAATGGTAGGGACTGATAGCTGGGACATCACAGTTGTAGAGTGCAGTCCACAACCAGCTTCTGGAAAGCTCTTCTCCATGAACTCCTCAACACTACCTTAGCCTGTGTCTTATGAAGTCTGCAGGACAGACAGATTTGCTATCATGTACATAGATGAATGTAAGGCTAGTTCTCCAATGCAGGGCTGTTTAGGTGTTCTGTATGTTGTAGGCTGCCTTGGAATGTTTGTAACAACAGTTAATACAAGCTCTTCAAAGGTCTTGCTGTGGGAATGACTCACCTCACATTTTAAGAGAGTGGTTGATTTGTATAATAATTTGAAATGCTTTCTCATTGTTAATTTTCTGGGTACTTTGTATAGACTACTTAGTTTAGAACACAGTCATTTCCATTATGGGTCATGAAGAAATTCATATGGTTCAATGGAAGATCCCAGGTACTTCATGAAGGTGCACACTATTACCCTCTAAATACTGTAGCCAAACCACAGTCTGTCAGTGCATAGTGAAGCCCCTAGCTCTTCCAGAATCCATGCTCTTATTACAGGGAACTATTTCCTTGTTTATTTCTTTTGTTTACTTGCTTTTCTCTTTTATTGATCATAATATCTAAAGCTCAGTAATAGATGGGTATAAGACTGATTAAACTCTGTGCCCTGAGTCTATGAATTAAAACTGCACATTCTTTCATTTCTACTATTGTGCTAGACACTATGGATTAAATAGCTGAGCAATAAGGCTATCCCTCTGGTAAATTTAAGTACAAATAGTAATAACATAGCAATTTCATCATAAATTTGAGCATTGCATTGAACCATGTCCACAAATACATTAAAAAATAAATGATAAAGTGTGGTCTCCTGCATTGGAAACAGAATTTCGGGGTTAGAATCCTATGAATGTTAGTCATTCCTTGAAAAGTTGAATTTCTTCAGAGACTAAGTTGAGGAGTTCTTATATGCTAGCATCTAACATGCTAACTTTAAAACAAAGTTCTTTTGCCATTAAAAATAGATCCAGTAACTATTTAGCAAATTTGGAACAATTAAGTTGAAAAAGAACAAGTATTCCTAAAGGAATTTTGCTCAAAAGGAAAAGTAAAATTGTGTCCTGGAAATACTGAATTGTGAAAATGTATCATTGTTTATGCTAATAAGCACCTTTTGACCTTAAATGGGCGATAAATTGAGACATAAAGGAATCAAAGAAAATATTGGAAGGTTTTACGGTTTTTTAATTTTTTTACTATTACTTGAAACACCGTGAATTTCAAGTATGTGGTAGGTGTATGATACTTCGGTCATTTCATGTCCAAGTAAAATAATAAATCACATACCTACTAAAACAGAAATAAAATCCATTTAATAAAAGCCGAAGTAAAGACACATTTTAAAGAATTTTTCTTTGCATTTGTAAGTTATTTCAGGCAAAGAAGAGGCATTAGCAAACTGATTTTCATCTAAAGTGCTGATTTTCATAAGCAAATATGGGATTTGGGTGTCAAAGCCTGTAGTTTATAAAGCAAACAGAGGTCCTTAGACCTTATGACTCAAATCACTTACAATGACTTAATGATTTATTTCCCATACTGAAGACAGTGTTTTCCCTGCTGAGACCATGTTTGCTCTTAACTCTTGTAGAATTTAAATGGTACACTAGATGACCCCAATTAGTAAACCATGATGCCTCAGTTAGCGAAGGCCTTTCCTCTTTTCCTTTACTAGAACTGTTGGATTGACTGGCCAAACACAATGTTCCTGCTCTTTTCTCGTTAGCTTAAAGTTTTTGTTAGTTTCCAGGGTAACTCAAGAATCACTTGATAAGGAAGTTTTAGGTCATAGCCACTGTTACATTACAAGCAGTATGATGTCATCCCAAGTTCCTTATTAATATTAATTACTTACTTGCCAATGTGTGCTGTGACTGACTCCAACAACATGCTAAAGTCTGGAATCCAATCGACTATTGTCTTACAGAATTTGGTATCTTTCTCAATAACCTAATGAGCTAATGCACATACCACAAATAAAAAGTTATTCTAAGAGATGATTTCAGTAACAATCAAATATATGTTTCAGATTAATATAGACCCAAATGTTGGTGTGCCTACCATCTCTCTGTATTAGTGTTAAGAATTGTGTTTCATGTTTAATGTTTTTTAATTAAGAAAGACATATACAACAGTTGCTTCTATTCAGGCAAATTGTTTCCAGTCTTTTCAGTTGTCTCTCAGTTTTCTATAATAAAATGAAGAACCAGTTTTTTCTTTGCTTGTGCTTATGTACATATGTGCCAAGTTATAGACGTATGTATCATCTGTAACTCCTGCCCAAGAAAGTCACTTACTAAGCTGCAGAGTCATTGAGCTGGTATTCAGAGGCTCTTTCAAAGCATGCCTGAATTCCTGGGTCTCCCCATAGTCGCTTAATCACTTCAGCCAGCTGGGGTGTCATGTCGCCATCGTCTAGAGTACTTGCCATTGCAAGAAGTTGTTGTTTGTCTTCCTTGAGTAATATTTTGGAGGGAAGAAAAAAAGCATGTTATTTATTCTCAGATATTGTTTTAAACAGAGTATTTTAAAAGGTATTTCATTGTCTGCTTTTTGTCAATAATTCCACTGAACTTTTTGAACTTGAATAAATTTGAATAGACTTGAATAGATTTGAATAAAAAATCTATTAAAAACAATAAAACTAGAATGCATTATAGCAACAGGCTGATATCTGGGAAAATTGCCCTTTGGAATAATTATAAAATACTACATAGAGAATTCTGAGTACTTTGGTAAAAATCATTGACATATGAGTATTTTGTCAAAAAGAGTAAGAGAACTTTGGTCTAATTCATAGTGGCTTGGGTTGAAATCCTAGAGGGAAAGAAAAATGAGATTGTAAACTGTTATTTGTCATGAAACATTTCTTTGTGGTCATTTTGGCAAGTCATTACATACCTGGACTCACATGGATATGTTAAGGGTCTCTGATAGGTGGTGTCAGTTATGTGCCTTTGCAGAAAAGTTGCTATAGGGCAGAGTTGAGAAGTGGTTGAGAAATAAAATCATGACGCTAAGTGTTGTGCCAGTTCAGAGTAGGATGTGGCCAGTAAAGGAGAGGGAGAGGAAATTGCTGAATAAACAAACTTAGCTTAAACAATTTATAGTAGGCTAAACGTTATACTAGTAATCAAAAATATATTGACAAAAGTCAACATTAGGAATTTGAGTCTCAAAAGAGTTAAATAACTTTTGGTATTTGGTTAGGAAAACAGCAAAGTCTGGCCTCAGATCACAGAGTGTCAGTAGTCAGAGATCAGGTTCTGCTTGCTAGTATAATAATACGCTGGTGACTCACATTACACTACTGCACAGTGTGGCACATGCATCCTCACAACTGCCAGCAAACACCACAGTGAGCCCACCACAGTGTCATATTCTCAGTGCTCCTCGAGACAAAGCAATAAAAACAGGAGCCCAGCCCCAGATGTGACCCATTCATTTTCAAACAACTGGAGGTTTGTTCTGCTGTTGTATTAAAAGTATTTTCTTTGTCTACGATATTAATGGCAAGTTCTTTTTGTTTGTTATTAAAGAATGTGGAAACTGAAAGGGAACATTTTCCATCTTTCTGATTGGGTTTTAGTACTACAAACAGATGCTCAGATTATTGTTAAATGGGTAAAATTCAAGCCTTGACCTTTTTTTCTAGAATTAATGGAGGATATATTTTACAATTCCTCCTTCCTATTAGAGAGAAAATGACAAACCTAGTGACATATGATCTATTTATTTAATTTGCCATTGATTTTTGAGATTATAATGTAATTGCGTAATTTTCCATTCCCTTTCCGCTTTCAAGCCCCTCGCACAAGCCCCTCCTTGTTAACTTCTAAATGGCAGGCATTTTCTTCTACCGTTAACATGCCTTTGGGACAAATTGTGCAACGAGACAGCTGTTCCCAGTGTCCTTTTCTAAAGGAACAAATTACTTGCTCTCTCAAATCCATTAGATACCAAACTTACATGCTCTTCCTTGCCTCTATATTGTTCATTGTAAGCTAATATACATTCTATTTATGTTGTTAATATGAGTAGATTTTCCCTTAAAACATGAAAATGTTACCAAAGCCCTTTCAACCAGTTTCATAATCTGACTGATTGACTGTGCCTTACTTCCGAGTTCCTAGCACACATACATGGTAAAAGCCCCTGGTGATTTTTAATTCAGGATAGTTAGTAGAAACATGTGGAGTAATAGTAAATTTATTCACACCAAAACAACAGCAGGCCAAGCAAATGAGAGAATCTTTGTAGGTCAAGTGTGTGTGTGTGTGTGTGTGTGTGTGTGTGTGTGTGTAAAATCTTTCATGCAGTTCAATTGTATAGAATCAGTTAAGAATCCTTTATTACAGGGTGTAGGGTAACCTCTGTCAAGCCCCAGGGCTTGCTTGTCTAGGCAGGTGCCACCTTCTCTCACAGAGACCTTTGTTTCTCTCCGGCACTGCTTACTCTAGAAGGAGAAGACCATGTCCACGAAGGAGCCTGTCCTTCAATCAAGGTTACACCTTTAGCTGTGTTCCACTTATATGGGTCTCTAGAATCCTTGGTAATAGATAAGTTGCTAGTTTTAATATATCATAACTACATTTCATGGAATATAGAATATTTCAGTTCTTGATACTTTTGTACAATAGTGGAGATATAAATAATTTTAAGAATTAAAGTTCACTTTTAAGAATGTGAGGTCACCAAATATATTTTAAATTTTAAGAAAATATAGCACCAAAATAAAACCCTCTCTGTATATAGCCAAGCATGGTGGTGAACTTGATAGGCAAAGGCAGGCAAATCTCTGTGAGTTTAAGAACAGCCTGTTATACAAAGTGAGTTTCAGCTCAATCAGAGCCACACAATGAGAACTCGTCCATAATTGACAGTTATTTTTTCAATGCTATGTATGCCTACATGTCAGTCAATTGAAACTCCACGGGTTATTCCTGTGTTTTAAATATTCCAGTAATTCTCTCCAGACTAAAGCTCCCACTCCTTTTCTATGACTCCCAAGCTTTCTGTGCTGTGCTGTTTTTTCTTTCCATTCTTGCTTTCCTGTTGGTCTCTGTTTCTCTCCACACTTGGTCCTCAAGCCTCAGGTACTGGACTCCTGCCATGATGTAAACATCCAAGCCCATCTTGTGGGTTTCTATGTGTATCTTATTTCATGCAGTACCACTTCCACAAGGAAACATTCTCCACCTTTCTATTCTAATACTCTCACACTTGTCCTTTCATTTATTGCAAGGCCTCTTCCCTCCTTGCTTTGCTAATTTTTTAAGAATATAGGTATATGAGGGCAAAGATAGTTGTTGTTTTGTTTATTTTTTACACTCTGATAATCAACAGAGTACATCTTCCTAAAATATTTTTGATTGAATGAACCAAAATCATAGACATGCTGATTCTAGAGAGACTAAGGTGTCTCCAATAATCTAACATTTTTATTTCAAATGCTACTTTTAGAGTTTGAATGGCATTACCAAGATTTAATTTCCTTATGATGTATTTCATAATGTTTAAGAATTGTGGCAGTTCTGGAAAAGCTCATTATCTCAGGATTTTGAATCACTAGAGAAGCAGCTCTCAACCTGTGGGTCACGTACATTTTGTGGGGGATGTTGAATGACCCTTTCACTGGGACTGGCCTAATACCATTGGAAAACACAGATATTTATATTATAGTTCAGGACAGTAACAAAATTACACTCGTGAAGTAATGATTAAAATAATTTTCTGGTTAGGGTCATCACAACATATAGAAATATACTAAAGGGTCATAGTATTAGGAAGGTTGAGAACTACTATTCTGTAACTACATTTTATAGAAATAAAACAAGTAATTCTTTCCTGGTTATGCAGTGCTCATCAATATTAGGTGCCTCACCCATTCTTAGAATTATGTTGGATTTATTCTGGACTTTGCAGTCATAGTTCCAAAGGAGATAAAACAAGAGCATTATCAGAGTAAGGAATGGATGTTTAGCCTACATGTTTGAGGAAGGCTGAACTGAAATGTCAAATATTGTTGTTCTCCAGGAACTCAAAGTCTACTTTGAATCTTTGAATACTCACAGCTGTTGAGATTTCTTGAACTGTTATAGAGTACCAGTATTCTAGACTTATCAGCTCACATGAATTGCAGAACATTTTGAGCAAATGTTTTCCTCTTCTTTTTGACAGTCTCATAATCATCATCACCATCACTCCCATCCTAGTTATTATACTTTCTTGTGTGTGTGATATGGATGTGGGAACAGTGTACATGTGGAAATCAACGAACAATTTTGTGGAGTCAGTTCTCTCCTTGTTTTATATGTATTTCATACATCAAACTGAGGTCATTAAGCTTTCCTGGTTTCATATTCCTTTACAACAACTAGGAAAATGTCACATTAAAATAATGCATACCATTAAAAACTTTTCTTAAACTAAGCACTTTACGTTTTTCTTCTCATCTACTATTCCCTTTTGTTCCGTGATGTAAATTACAATAGTCTGTAACAGTAAGCCCAGGCCACTCACTTTGAGCTTCAAATGCATGTTTGCAATTGCTTCTATATGGTTTTTTGAGACAGGATATTATGTGGCTTTGAAGCCTGTCCTGGAACTAGTTCTAGTAGACCAGGCTGGCCTCGAACTCACAGAGATCCGCCTGCCTCCCTCTGCTTCCTTAGTGCTGGGATTAAAGGCATTTGCTGACAGCCTCCGCTGCTACCACTATCACCACCAACACCACCACCAACACCACCACCAACACCACCACCACCACCACCGGACCTATGTAAACATCTTGTAGAATGTACACACAGGACATTTCCAAATCCAAGCTGTCTCAGTTATGCTTTCAATGAATGAGGATGTACAGACATTCACATCCAGTTTTGATAACCTCCTTAAATACCAAATGCTTCATAAACGTTTACTCAACACCTGCCTTTCTTTCCTGAATACAAATGGGTTTTCAATGTCAACTATTGATGCCTGGTTACTGTATCTCTAGCAGCAACCCAAATGCCTGCCACGTAAGATAATAATAGTTTTCAGATGACCTTTGTTGAGTGCATTTCAGTACAGAAATTTTAATTAGTCAAAAAATAAAAATAGCTGGTATTTACATGGACTTTATATTCTACAATACTGGATTTAAAAGGGCTATTCATATTTGTCTTCCTACTTTGGTAGTATTTGTAATGTTATTGGGAAAGTATGCATATTTATGCATGAGGAAGTTAAAACAGAGAAGTTCAGTAGCTTTATCTAAACCAAGAGATCCATGGATAATATAACTTAGGCTGATTTTCTGTCTGGACTGGTTTTGAATGTCAATCTGTGTGATGATGCTCAAACTAGTGATTATGTGAAAATATATGTGCTTGTATAAACAAAAAGTTCACCTAATCAAAAATCTGAAAGTCATACAAATATAGTGCTTAGAAATAAATAGGTTGGATGAACAATTTAAACCAGGTACAAAGTGTTACAAAGTGCGTATCTTACAATAAAATACTAAGTGAGTATGATTGAAAGTGCAAATGTTTTCTTCAGTTGAAACAAAAATATGATCTGTATAGTACTAGGAAACTGTGGTTTTCTGATATTCTGGGGAGCAGAACAAAGATGTCCTGAGAAGTCATAGCGACTTTATGGGCTACTTAAGTTTACACCATTGAACGTACAGTTTTAAAGTGCTTTCAGTAAGTATAATGATAGTGCTGTTTCAAGTGTATTGTTTTTACTCCACCTAGTTTATAAAGCCTAGACTACATGTAGCACATATTTTGTTTTTTTAAAAGACGTTGTCTTAGGGTTTCTATCGCTCTGAAGAGAAAGCATGACCAAGGCAACTCTTATAAAGGAAATCACTTAATTGGGGCTGTCTTGCAGTTCAGAGGCATAGTCCATTTTTGTCATTGTGGAACATGGGGTGTGTGCAGGCAGACATGACACTGGAGAAGGAGCTGGGAATTCTACATCCTGAGCCACAGGCAACACGAAGAGACTGACATACTACGCCTGGCTTGAGCATCTGAGACCTCATACCCTGCCCCCTAGTGACACACCTCCACCAGGGCCATACCACCTAATAGTGCCACTCCCTCCCTATGAAACTATGGAGGCCATTTTCTTTTAAACTACAAGAGAAACAATATGAAATTTTGTGATTCTCTACTTCCTTGACAAAACACATGGAAAATTTTAATACAAGTTCCAAGATCTTTAAGTCGTTGTTAAAGAATTCAAAAGGCACACATGTCTTTGTGGCTATTATTGCCTAGGAGGGAAGAGTAAAATAAACGTTGTTGTGTGAAACGTTGAAAACAGTCTTCACAGAGGACAGAATGCTGCAAAGGAAGCTAGGCAGCCTTGCATTCTCCCTGGACATCATCTGCAGTGAAGTAAACCAAACACTCTTTCAGTCTACTTTTCTCCCCTTTGAATTAAAGGAGCACAGCAGTCTATTTCTCAAACGCCTTTGCAAAATTCTATGTGCTTGAAAAAAAGCCATGGCCAGAGATAACACAACAGCTATAAACAGAATAGGTTCAATAAATCATCAGCTGATAAAGATGGGAGGGTCTTGGAGTGCTGCTCCTTGGTTCCCTTCCACACGTGAAGGAAGGTGGAGTCAGAGAAGTGGGAAACCTAACTGGAGCCAAATTGTGGGGAGATTTCCTAGTAAAGGAAGTTTTCTTTAGAACATACACTCCAGGATTTGCCCAGGATTTGCCCTAAAGTATGCTTAGCATTTCTCTGTGCTTTTTTTCTCTCTCTCTTCCTCTCCCAACCCTTCTCTAAGGAAACTGAAGGGAAAAAAGGCGATTTACCTTTCCTGTAAAATAAAAATGTACATTTTCCTTTTCACCTGATAACTTCCAATGCTCAATTGGAGGGCCAACCCCAAACTGGATGTCAGGAGAGAGAGAGAGAGAGGAGGAAAGCAGTTTGTGTCTTTTTGTCATTATACATACTGTTTTCCTTTTCTGTGCTTATTGCTCCTATACACTGACCCCATTGGGGACTGTTCAGTAGGTGACATCTGGAGGTGACCAGCTGCTCTGAGAAGGCCTTGTGGAAATAGAGAATATCTTTCATTCTTTTATTTTTTGAGTGGGGTTAGTTATTGTCTTTCAGACAATAATACAGTCACAGTCTTTGCATAGTATCTATTTCAAAAGTAAGTAGATATTTGTTTATTTTTATTTTATTTTAGAAGCACTCTTATTTACATATCAATCTCCCCATTCCCTTGTCCTCCCATCCTCCCATGCTCCCTACTGACCCCCCCCAACCCACCCCTACCCACACCCCAAGGAAAGCATCATAAGATGTAAAATAATTATTAAATACAGAAAAAATCATTTAGATGATATGTTATAAACCACAGCATAGTTATGTTTCTTATGCTGTTACATTATTTAATAAAATTATGATGAACAGAGATAAAGAGAGGTTTCATTCAGAGAAAAATAAGGAAATTTAAGTTGGAGATAGTTAACAATTGCAAAATTATTATATTATGTTCTTTTGACAAAGAATAGGACAACAGACAATCCTATTCTATTTTGGTTGGCATTTCACACAGGTCATATAATTAATTATAACATGGGCATACTTACTGAGCTTCTGGGATTTGTATAATCAATCCCAAGTGTAGTCATAGCTTTCACAATGGCTAAGATCGACTGTAGTGTGTTACTGTAGATCACTGCTTTAAACTCCATGCATTCTTGTTTGCTGTAACCATTCTTATGGATGATCCTACAATTAAACATGAGAATTTCTGTGAGTGTAACACAAATAATACTAAAAGCAATAATAAAAATATAGTGTATACACCTTAAAAAGCTTGGCTGTTGATTATGTGTGTATGCCAAGTCTAGACAATTTAACATCTCTGAATGTGTACCATTCATTGTCTCTACATATAATGCCTTTGGGGTAATGAGGAGACCACATACTAAATATAAGTGAATTTAAGATTGTTCTTGATGAAATGTTTTCACATGCATAAGTCACATATGCTTTATTACAAACCTAGATTCCTTTTTCAGGAAGAAAATTCTCTGATTTCCGGGTCAGAGATGTGCACAAAGACCTGAACACTGTGTCATGTTTACAATGTGATATCTAAAGGATGTGAGGTCACTCAGCAGAACAGCCCCGGCTTTTCCTATCTCTTAAGAAACACCGGGAAGTATGAGTGCCTGCTTTCTATTTACAGCATTAACAAAGGAATATTTTTAAATGCAGGTAATTGCTTTCTGTTGGACCCATTGCCATTCCTCTGAGTGTGTGCGTGCATCTGGGTTCCCAGAGCTGAGTTACCCAGAAGGTAGATTTATCTGGGCTACCCTCTTCCTTCCATTCATTAACCCATAAGTCAGAGTTGGATGGAGACTTTAAGAATAATAGCTTTAAAGAGAATTTCCCATTAGACCTAAAATCTCTGCTGGTGTTACCTGTGTGTCTTTGCTGTGTTATGAATCTTGTTTCTTTCTGTCATTCTTTATTTTATATTGCTTTTAAAATGCTTTTGTTTTGTTTTGAGTATCACTTTTCTCACGATTTATCTTGTGTCTACCAACATAGAAGTTCTGGCTTAGGAGTCAAACATACCGTATGCACCTCTTCAATGCCTTTGAAGATCAGAAAACCATCAAATGGTAGGACCAGGCACTGAGAGGAGTGAAGAATGTACCTCTATTATTTTAATCTATTCTTTACATTTGGTTATCAACAAATGCTCAATTTTACCTTCAATTTATCTTGCTGCATTACTCTATTCATTCACTTGTGTAAACAAACTACAAAAACAACAACAATAAAAAACCCAGATGATTCCAAAACCATAAAAATGCGGAAAGACGTACTTATAATAGATCAAAGAAAGACTGTTGAATAAATCTCAGGACTATGTCCAAAATTAAAACAGAAAAATGATATAATTATTTAATTAGAATGGTAATTATGAGTTAATTTCTGGCATTTGGGTTCCTTTGGTAACACAAGTTCTGATGACTCATAAAACTATTGGGGAAATATGATAGAAGAAGCTGTGTAGTTTTATTTATTCTAGAAATAGTTGCCTACCTTTAAGTTCATTCCAAGCTCTCTTCAAACTAGTAAGATTGTATTGAGCATTTCAGTTCTTCATCATATGCTGAAATAAATGAATGATTCGCTCCTGACTCTCTGCTCACTAGGTCTATAGTGAATTTCTGTCTATGCACCACCTACTGTACACTGTAACTGTCGGCTATGTTACAGAAAATTACATTTTAGATCCTCAAATGGCCACTAAAGTCACACGTGGCTCAGACAGCATAATCATGAAACCTTTCCACCATGGTCACATTTCTAACAGAAGTACCAAGTTATGGAAAGAATTGTCATTTTAGTAGATTCTTTTGCTCTACACAAGTTCATAGCCGCAACTGTGTATGGGAAGAGACATTAGGAAAGCTGTGGAAAGTTCTATTGTGGGTAGGCATAAAAAAGCCAAAAAAAAAAAAGACAAGGATTAGTAGAAAAAAATGAGCTGACTATTTTATGATAATGAGCTCTTTCTAAACGTCCAAAAGTAAGGGGGACTTTATAGATACAAGAGGTTGTGCAAGTGAATGGAGGCACACGGTTACCAAGCTTTGGGCATGTGCGAAGAGCTGGTGTTGCTCACACACTGTCATACGCGTATGCAGTGGCTTCATAGTCCTGCAAGTGAGTGATGAATAGTTCCAACAGTTTGCAAAGTGATTGCTTGTACATTTTTATAAAATTTAGGTTTCTTTATCTTCCATTTTACCATTTAAAATAATTAGAGAAATTGTGTTTTACTTATATTTCATACTTTGGATACTTAAATTAGTTCTATGTTATACATATTTCAAATTCTTGTTGTAGTTTCTCAGAAATGTGTATAGTTAAAGATTATGTATTATATACATATATACATATAAATATATATATATATTAAACCACGAAAACACACTCATGGCTTTTAAGGTTTAGTTTAAATTTTTTGTGTGTGGATCTGTTGCTTGAATCTTCTACATGTACCTGTATCTTCTACATGTACCTTCTACATGCTCTGAGAGACCAGAAGATGGTACCAGATACTCTGTGACTGGAGTTAGGGAACCTAATCTCCATTCTATGCAAAGACAACAAGGGCACATAACAGACAAACCATCCCTCCAGCCCTAAATTTATAGTAGAAATAGAAAAACTATAACTACTAGTTCTTTTTTACAAACTGTACATCTAAAATAGTGGTAAGAAAAACTCATTCTTGCAATCTTCACTTTAATAGATAGTAAATTTAGATTAAGATTATAATTTTGATATTGAGATCATCTTATATCATAGCTCTGGCTATTATGGTACTCCTTATGTGGTGCAGACTGCCCTTAAACTTACTGTGATCCTCCGGGATCAGCCTCCTGAATGTACGGCTTATAAGAATAAACTAAAAATCAGTCAAAAATTATATTTTCATAATTTCTTATGACAAAGAGTGCCTAATTATTGATTTAAATTTTTATATTATATTTAGTAAAGTTTAATTATATAATTTACCAACTCTGGAACTGGTAATTTAATTCTGTCTTTCATATACTGTTCATTGGTTCTCCTTTACTTACATATATTTGACTGATTACTGTTTTACATAATAGCCCATATCTCTTCATATATGAGAGTAGTTAGTTATATATCTATGATATTCGTTATTGGCTTTATTTCCAGTAGTCTATTTTTTGTCTGAATTCATACATGATTTAATATTTAAAAGATTTCTTTTTATATAGAAAAATGACTTCTTCAAAAACTATATTTATGCATATAAATAATAGACACATAAAAGGAATAAGATAACTTCAACTGTGATTATGTCCTAAATAATAGGGTAATAGAGAGGAATAATGACCTAATGGAATAAGAAATAACTCTGCTGTTAGGATGGACCAAAAATTGCTTTAAAATGTGTTTTGTAAGCAGAAAGGACAAACAGAAAAACAATGTAATAACACATAAGAATCTGTTGGAGTGATATCAATGAACAAATATTTTATATCCATATAGGAAATAAATGCCAATGTTAAAAATATTGTTCCTCCCCAATTTCAAATGGATTCTTGATTGACATATTTCAAATGGTTATGACCATACACTCATTGGTTAAAAGCTAGTTCATTTGAGGTTTAATATAATTAAAACGTAGCTACTGGCATCAATATTTCTGAAAGGCAAAAATTCAAAAGAAAAGTAGAAATTACAGTCTTTGCTAAACAATAGAAGTAATATTGAACACTCAAAAAAGTCAGGATAACTTTGCCACTACCTACAAACTCTGAAAAGGTCACTTGAATTCTGAAAAGAGACTTGCAAAGCAGTTTTTAAAGATTTTATCAGTCTGTATAATGATACTTGTATGCAGGTGTTCAGGGCTAATCATTTGTTATTGGACATGTGCTCTTATCTGTGGAAGACTACTTCTCCAGCTGTCAGCATTCCTGACTTGCCTGTCACTCTCTATGTAGGGTTGAAGCCTCTGGGGCTTCCCCTGTCTGCATCAGCATGTGTGTTGGTGTAGTCTCATTTCAGCCCAAGATTAGTCAGTCATGTTGGTGAGACTTTATGAGCAGATTTTACTTTTAAATATGCAACAAAAGTTAATGAAAAAAGAGAGACAATGAATATGGAAAGGTCAAGGAGGGGAATGAGGGAGAATTTGTAGGGAAAAAAGGAAAAGGCAAAATGATGCAATTATGTTATGATAAAAAATAGAATAAATAACCAACACACAATTGTTCAATGCATAGATACATCTAATAGTCAACACTTGAAAGGGTTCTGTACCTACTTCATTTGTTTAACAATAGTACTCTTTCCAGATTCACCTGCCCCTGAAACAAAATGAAGCAAATGTTATTAATTGATACACAGAATTTGTATGATTTTAAAACCTACTATTTTTTCATGTGTAAATTTTTGACAACGCTATTTGTGTAACTTCTAAAGGAATCAATGTTCACTAATAGAGAAAATTGTATTTTATATTTAAACATGATTTGATTTGAGATGCTTATATACCTGAGCTTGCAACCCAAAGATGTAACCCACAATCTCAGACTCTAAATAGCTCTTGGCCTCCTAAGATGACTCTTTGTATCTCTATTTGAATAAATGGTGAAAGAAGAAAATCATACATAAATTTATGTCCAGAACTGTTCAAACAGAAATCTATCCTATTTCAAACATGCTGTTCTCTTCAGCAGCCTATGAATACCTTTGTGTATAGGTATAATTTCCATTATCCAAATGAATGAAGATTCTTAAAATTTCTAAAGTCCAAGGAGCCCTTATGTATCAGGTGACATGGGCATGTCTCATGTCATAGATCTGGTTGCATAGAGGTAGGTGTGAGGAATCAGCAGTGGTCCTGCAGCTATTACAGTCTCCCTTATTTGCAACACGTATTGTGGTTTATGACCCACACTATGAAACATTGGTATTCACTCACCTCTTGAAGCATCATATACAAAGACCCCCAAATGCACATGATTCCTAATACAGAAAGCAAGAAGCCATAGTGAAAAATTAGGGGCAGTTTTAGGTTGTTAGTCATAACCTTTGGACAATATTTCTTGAATCCTTCTTAAGGTTAAGGACTATTTTTTTTGAGAAACAAAAGGTAAAAGTATAGACATCACAAGTCATGGTCTATGTTTGTTTGGTTTTTTTTTTGTATTTGTGTATGACAGGCATTTACCTTAATTTATCAAAGAATCACAATTTTAACATAAGAAAAAGATATTTTTGAATTTGATAACTCAAGACCTAAAACTCTTAGTGAAACTGTGCTTATGAATATGGACTAGAGCACCTGACACCACTCTGTAGACTTTTAACCCCACCTAAAACTATTTGGCCTTCACCTTTCCTGTAGTTCTTACCATCCTCTCCATGATCACAATTTTTCATGAATCATTTTAACTTTTATCCTATCCATCGATTTAATGTAAATTTCACAAGAAAGAAATAATTCTTTGAATTTATATTTTAAAAATAAAATACCCATAACCAAGAAGATATTTGCAACTAATACCCACTAGCCTAAAGCAAGTCACTGTTCTCCAAAGGCATGTCCCTGTGTGTGTCAGCCTCACTCCAGTGTAGGGACCATGCCCAGGAGTAAAGAAAGAAGACTTCTTTTCTTTATTATTTTGATAAAGTTTATTTTGTTTTGATTTTCTGTTTTATTGATTTTTTGTTGTGATTATTCAGAAGAGGTCCTGAAACTGTGTGGGTATGGAGTGGGAAGGATTTGAGAGGACTTGGGAGAGATAAAACACAATGTGATCACAATGTTTGTATGGTTTTTATGAAGGAAAAGTAAATTAAAAAATAGATTTTGTCCTTTGTTTGATAAAACATTTTTTTCACTGAAATGTATCTGTTTTCCTGAGCCTGAAGGAACACATATAGAGGCATCTAAATTTAACTCTATGTTGCAGCAAGTGTTTATGACCCTGGCATGTCACAATGTATCTGATTTCTGCACTTGTCTGAACAGCTGCTTATCAGCTAAGATACTGAAGCTTAAAGACTGGTAAGACCATAGTAAATAAGGCATCATTGACAGGTTGTTATGTACCCATTCTTTCTTTGCTTAATCTGTCACAGTTTTCTCCATCATTGTTACTGTGTGCTTTCTAGCACAAGCCTTGGAAGTTAAAAGCAAAGTCAAGGAATGAAAATTGAAGTATTTTTCAATATTGCTTTACAGTTTTTCTCATTTACTTTTTTATTTTTTATTTAAATTAGAAACAAGGTTGTTTTACATATTGATCCAAGTTCCCTCTCACTCCCTTTCTCCCATGCTCCCCACCAACCTCCTATACTTTCTACTCCCTAGGGAGGGTGTGGCCTACCATGAGGGACTTTCAAAGTCTGTCATATCATTTGAAGCAAGGCCCAGACCCTCACCTGTGTGTCTAGCCTGAGAGAGTGGGCTCCCAACCTTCATTTGTGTACTAGGGATAAATACTGGTCTACTACCAGAAGCCCCATAGGTTGCCCAGACCTCCAAACTGACATCCATGTTTGGGGATCTAGAAAAGTCATATGCTGGTTTCCTAACTATCAGTCTGGGGTCCATGAGCTCCCCGTTGTTCAGGTCAGCTGCTTCTGTGGGTCACTCCAGCCTGGTCTTGACCCCTTTGCTCATCACTCCTCCCTCTCTGCAACTGGATTCCAGGAGTTCAGCTCAGTGTTTAGCTGTGGGTGTCTGCTTCTGCTTCCATCAGCTAAGGGATGAAGGTTCCATAATGACACTTAAGGTAGTCATCAATCTCAGTATAGAGGAAGGGCATTTAAGGTCACCTCTCCACTATTGCTTAGATTCTTAGGTGGGGTCGTCTTTGTAGATCTCTGGACATCTCACTAGTGCCATATTTCACTTCAAACCTATAATGGTTCCCTCTATAATGGTATCTCTTTTCTTGCTCTCCTCTATTCTTCCCCTGACTCAATCTTCCTGCTCCCTTATTTCATTTAATTTTGAAGTGATGGTGTTAAAGACAGGGTCTGTGAGTTCTAGGCCCCACTAAGACACTGTAATCCAGCCATGGACCTGCAAACACAAGCCACAGAGGTGGATATTGGAATCAATGTCATCAGGCACAAGTGACAGCTTCAAAGGGTCTCAGTCTACTACATCAAATATATATATTAGGTTTTACTGAATTGAAAATTTCCAACTGTAGGACAATGTGGGGGGAAAAATCAATTATTTTAGGAGGGGCTTCAGTCCTACTCAATGCATGTTTACAGTGTAATGTACTGTATTTTGTTCAATGAAAGTGACGCTGCTGGGGAAAAATCTGGAGAATTTTGAAACTGAGCAAAGAACATTTACCCTGAATGTGGGTGTCAGTGAGGAGGCTTAGGTAATCTATTGCGCCTTGGGTAGTAGATCAGTATTTATCCCAGTATACAAATGGACTTTGGGCTCCCATTCAACAATGAGAGATGCACTCTCACCCTGAACTCTTGGGGGAGGGTCTAGGCTCTGGCCTGGATGAAATTACAGATGATGGACAACCCCATGGAGGGCCTCACCCTCTCTGGGGAAATGAGGGGAAATTGGGAGGGGTTGGTGGGAGGACACGGGAGGAGGGGAGGGAAAAGGAGAGGGACCTGGAACTGACATGTGAAGCAACCTTGTTTCTAATTTAAACTTAAATTAAAAATAAAATATAAAAAACTTTATAGCAAGTATATAATGTCTGTATTTCCTGTAACAAAGTAAAAATTATTCACAGAGTATTTTCAGTTAAATGAAATGTCAACATTTAGAAAATAAGAAAAGATTTTAAGCATTATCTCTTGAGTGGATTGGGAGCATGAGGGAGGGGAGAAGGAGCTGGGAGAAACAAAGGAGGAGAAGAGGGGAGAGGATGAAATGGGGGAGCAGGAAGTTTGAGTTGGGGGAAGAACAGAGGAGAGCAAGATGAGAGACACCATAATAGAGGGAGCCATTATACGTTTGAGGAGATATCTGGCACTAGGGAGATTTTGAGAGATCTACAAGGATAACACCAACTGGCAATCTAATCAACAGTGGAGAGGCTACCTTAAAAGCCCTTTCCCAATAATGAGATTGATGAGTTCCTTATATGCTATCCTAGAGCCTTCATCCAGTGGCTCATGGAAGCAGAGGCAGACATCCACAGCTAAACACTGAACTGAACTCTTGGAACCTAGTTGCAGAGAGGAAGGAGTGATGAGCAAAGGGGTCAAAACCAGGCTGTGAAACCCAAGGAAACAGCTGAGCTGAACAATTCATGGACCTAAGACTGATAGCTAAGAGGCCAGCATGGAACTAATCCAGACCCCCTGAACATGGGTGTCAGTGAGGACCTCTGGTATTCAACCAGTATTTATCGCTGGCATACAAATGGACTTTGGGAGCCCATTCCATGTGGAGGGATTCTCTCAGCCTAGACACATAAGGGGAGGGCCTAGGCCCTGCTCCAAATGATATAACAGATTTTGGGGATCCTCCATGGAGGGGCGTACCCTCCCTGGGGAGCAGAGTGGTGATTGGGTAGGAGATTGGGGGACTTTGTGGGGATTGGGATAGGAGGGGAGGGAGAGGAAGCTGGGATAGATATGTGAAGCAGGGTTGTTTCTAATTTTCAACAAGGCAACATCCGGTGGCATCTCCATCCTTGACTTCAAGCTCTATTATAGAGCTATAGTCCTGAAAACAGCTTGGTATTGGCACAAAAATACACAGATAGAACAATGGAATTGAATTGAACACCCCGACATTAACCCATACATGTATGAACACCTGATCTTTGACAAAGAAGCTAAACTTATACAGTGGGAAAAAGAAAGCATCTTCAACAAATGGTGCTGGCATAACGGAAGCTGACATGTAGAAGAATGCTGATAGATCCATGTCTATCGCCATGCAAAAACTTGAATCTAAATGAATCTAAAACCTCAATATAAATCCAACCACACTGAACCTGTTAGAAGAGAAAGTGGGAGGTACCCTTGAACAAGTTTTTACAGGAGACCTCTTCCTGAACATAACTCTTGTAGCACAGACACTGAGATCAACAATTAATAAACGTCCTGAAACTGAGAAGCTTCTGTAAGGCAAAGGACATAGTCAACAAGACAAAATGGCAATCCACAGATTGGGAAAAGATATTCACTAACCCCACATCTGACAGAGGACTGATCTCCAAAATTTACTAAGAACTCAAGAAGCAAGTCTCCAAAACACCAAAGAATCCAATTAAAAAGTGGGCTACAGAACTAAATAGAGAATTTTCAATAGAGGAGTCTAAAATGGCTGAGAGACACTTAAGAAAATGCTCAACATCCC